GGGTTGCCCAGAGAGGTAGTGGAGGCCCCATCCCTGGAAACATTCAAGACCAGGTTGGACAGGGCTCTGAGCAACCTGATCTAGTTAGCGGTGTCCCTGCTCGCTGCAGGGCGGTTGGACTAGATGACCTCTAGGGGTCCCTTCCGACCCAAAACTTTCTATGATTCTATGATTCTATGAAATGTCTGCCTCCATCTACCCAGCTACTATGGTGGCTGCTTTCCCTTCTGCAGAATACAACTGAAAAAAATACCTTTCGGATAAAGCTACCCAAAAAAAAAAATCTACAAACCACAGAGAGGTCTGCTGTGGCAAATAAAGAGTCTAGTTCAACTACCAGCCTTACAAAGACATAAAGCTACAGGACAAACAAATACACTACACTGCTAAAGAGTAACATCTTCCTTGATGAGATTGTAGCAGAACTACATTTACCACTTAAGATTTTTTGAAGAGACTTGGTTTTTTTTCCTTTAACAGTACTTTGAAGCAGATGCTTCATTACAGTCAGTTCTCTGTTCTCACAAGGTCCAGCCTTGCAGGGCAGAAAGTTAAGGGCAAACCTACTTCAAAAGAAACCGGCTCTCACTCCTCACTCCCAAATATATTTCCTCCATACTTGGGCCGATCATGAGATCTGAACCACAAACTCTCCTGACAGTCAAACCTCTGTTAAGTGACAGCTTGGCAATATTTACAGACATAAAGAAAAAGACTGGTGGAAGACAGGCCTGAAGGAACTGAGTAGAGTTTTACAGGAACTAAGCTGAACTAATAGCTCATCCTTGCCGAAATGATTAGATCACCCCATGTTTTCCCTGCTCCCAGCAGCCACCTTGGTTCAGCGTGAGGGCTCATCAGATCCTTTCATGGCCACTTCCAGCAAAACAGCAGAAAACTCATCATGTTTTGGGCAGAAGGAGTTTTTCAATGTGTTACAGAATTGAAGGGCTCTATAGGAAGTGAATAACACTTCCTATCTATGAGCAGTGATAAAGAGGAAGGAGTGAGACCTCCTCCTTTTGGCAGCAGTAGACTACTGATGAGCTTAACGACCAGCAAATCCTCAGCCTAAGACTGCTTAAACAGTTTTAGCATTTCCCGTATATAATTTTTGCCTTAAGAGGGGCAGATGGGTAAACTGAAGAATTTACAGCTGCAGAGATTTTTCTGGCCTCTCACACTGATAACCATCCTCACTACTTGAGCTATTTCTTAGTTAAGAATCACATATCAACTCACATTGAAGTTCCCTCTTGCTTTGTGAACTGCCTGAAGACCTACACTAAAATGCAATACCCAGCCACTAAAGTCGTTTTCCATTTGTAAACCACTGCGTTCAGACTGCCAGCATCACCAAAAAAAAATTTAAAAAAATCTTTACTTAGCAAAAAAAAATTCCCCCTCCTTCCCCCCAAATCAACAAACATCTACTTTACTAATTTTCTATCCAACTTGAGTTTGTAAGCATCTAGTCACTTCATAAAACATTTAAAGATACAGACATTCTTATAAGCATGGTATAAGCAGTAAGGCACTGGGGAGTTCTCACACACATCAGCCCGTCCTTTCACTTCACTGCCTGCTTTGTCAACAAGAATCCTGCTCTATTAAAGCTTCAAAAGAGGAAGGCCTTTCCTACAGACAAAAGCTGTGCCAGCTGAGCTCACATAACCAAAGCTGATGTCTGAATACCCTTTATTAACTAATTCCTTCAGGGGGAAAAAGCAAAACCAAACTATCCTAATTACAAGTGGCACAAATTGCACACGTGGATAAAGCTGAAAATCCAACAACAAATCCTAGCAAGTCAGGCTTGGTGGGAGGGGGACTGCTCATGGAGGATGACGAAGGGAAACAGGGATCAGAGTAGTACCAGACTTGCACACAAGGCTAGTCACGTTAAACAGCACAGCAGATGTTTTTTAGTTTGTGCTCCCTAAACCAGAGAAAGATACGCTTGTTGCAAAGAAGATTCCTCCAAGATCACATAAGATGGCACAAACAGAACATGCAAAGATTAAAATAGGCACTGCTCTAAAGTTACAGCTATTTATTTATTTACAGGCAGCCGTATGATTTTTACCTGTTATCACATTTATATGACAGAACTAATGTTCAAAGATTATCAAGAGGTTTTTTCAACTGTTTCTGATTATTGGTATTGATATGTGGCATACGGCAGGGGGGGGAGAAAGCATAAACCAGACAGTCTAAACAACAAGTTCTGCAAATGCTAATAACATAGAAAGTAAAACAGAAAAAAAAAGTCAGACCAGGAATTCCACAGGATTCAAGATGTGATGTATAAAATCACCTGCATGGTGGGGGAAAGTGACACTGTTCACATATCAAATCTTAACAGAGGCCTAGACATCTTTTGGGATTGCTAGCACTTTTGCTCCGAAACAACTGATGGAGAACCAATAGTTGCCTACTTGGACCCTATTCTTTCAGCTGACAGATCTCACTACCAAATAGACAGATAAAGGCACTATTCATTCATCACATCCTTAACATGAAACCCAGATCACCCACTTTATACACCATGGTTACCTCTCAGTATCATCTCTCCAAC